TCTGTCGTACCTCTGTGAAACCCATTGGTAGTAAGAAAGTTTGATAGGCGATCATACCATGCTTTGGGAGCCTGCTTGAGACCGTACAAATCCTTGTCTAAGAAGTAGACATGGTTTGGATGCTTATCACTCTTGAAACCTGGGGGTTGCTTGACATATACTTCTTCTTTGAGCTTACCATTTAGAAAGGCTGATTTGACATCCATTTGGAATACCTTGAACCCTCTGTGAGTTGCAAAAGTTAGAAAGATACGAATAGCTTCTAGTCTTGCCACAGGAGCAAAGGTTGCTTCATAGTCAATACCTTCTTCCTGGCAATACACTTTAGAGACTAGCCTTGCTTTGTTCCTTATCACTACCCCTTGCTCATCCTTCTTGTTACGGAAAACCCATTTGGTGCCAATTGCAAGTTTCCCAGTTGGCAGAGGTACGAGAGTCCAAACCTAATTTCTGTCAAATTGAACTACCTCGTCTTGCATAGCATCAACCCAGAAAGTATCTGCCAGAGCCTCTGCAACTATTTTGGGTTCAATTTCGCTTACATAACTAGTAAATAAGCAGAAATTCGTCGTTGCTCGTGTTCTAACACCAGCAGAAGGTTCCCCTATGATTTGAGATTGGGGATGGCTTTGGGTCCACTTAGAAACGTGATGTGGTGGAACAGAGGGCACAGTTTCCTGTGCATTTTGAAGATGAGGTGGAGATGCAGAATCTATATTAGGTTCTTGAGCTTCATTGGAGGATGAAACTGGAGGACTTTCATTTATCGGTGCAGCTTCTGGTGCAGAAGCTTCTGGAGAAGGGGTCACAGAGGATGAAGGGAGGGGAGCTTCTTCTGTGATGGATGTTGTGGAAGGACTTGCACTGGATGCTTGATCTGGGTGGACAACTTCTGCAGAGGAACTTTCTGGATCTGTATCATCTTCGCACCACTCCACAAAAAGTTGCTTGAGTTTTGCGGTGATTGTAGCATTTGGAGATTTGTCGGCTTGAATTTCCAACTCTTCTATGAACTTGTCCTTTGTCACTTGAAAAAAAATCATCAAATCTGACGTTTGTGCTAACAACCACTATTTGAGTCCTGGGGATGTAGGCTCTCCATGCGGCAGAGTCCCACGCATAGCCGATGAAGATTGCATCATCCCCCTTGGGCTCAAACTTTCCCATAGACTCTCTGTCATTCAGGACGAAGCATTTACAACCAAACACATGAAAGAACTTTATGTTTGGCCTTCTGTTATGTAGAAGTTGATAGGGAGTCTTCTCGAAACGCTT